AACTGTAGAAAAGATCTACTGAAATCACTTAATATCTCTGATAGAATCTGATAAGATGTAGTAATTAACTTCACTATTAATCTATCTGAGAGTAAGAATTGTAGAAACATTCTGATCATCATTGATTAACTAAGTAAGAATATAATATTGAAATCTTATAATAAGATGAACACTGAACAAGTCACTGAAGTCTTCTTACAGAGTTCATTCTATCAGATGTATAAATTACTGAGATCAATAGTATTAAATCAGAGCTGTCAATTCATGAGTACTCTCTGAACAAGAATCTGTTAAGTTCTCAAGATTACATGCTGTCTGTCAACTGTCTATCATTCTGAGACTGATAGTGCATCAGAACAGATAATTCAGACTGTAAAGAATTATCTTTACAAGTTCTATAACTATCTATAAGATAATTGACATGACCTGCTTCTATATGCAGAGATCACTATTAATGAATAAAATACTGTTTCAATACATGTAAGTCTGTTCTTTCTTATACACAGTTATCATATGAAAGTGTTGAATCTTCTAGAGACTACACAGTTCACACTGAATCTCTGCAGTCTGATTCAGATTGCTGATAATATAGTAATGAAGCTCTGAGATATCTGTAATTGAGTAGAGATCTTCATAACAACTGCAAAACAAGATCAAGAGAATTAAATCAATGTTTATCAAGATCTCACTGAATAATATAAGATAGAAGACCTGATATGATTGAATCTTAAGAATATATAAATCATATATTCATCTCATACACTAGATTACTGCCATGTCAGATATAAAGTGATAGAAGTTCTAGATAGTTACAACTACTGTCTTGACACATCATCAGAAATTCATGATATATTTCATACAAGCTTACTCTGCTATACTATCACTGATTCATTCTCTTCTCAGCTGACTTCTGACTGATAGTCACCAGATATCATAGAAGAAGATAATGAGCTTAAGTAAGAGATTAAGAATATTCTCAATGAGAGACTCTGTAACTGCAGCTGATAATATCTTATAAAATGAGTTAACTATGATTAACTGATCTGAACTCTGACTTCTGTGTTATCTGAAACAGCAGCTCTTGACTGATGAGAACTGCTTCTGAAAGAGAGAAGTTAATGTGATGAGCTGTGTCTAATCAATTATATAGACTATTTCATTACACTTCATAGATTCTTTCATTTCTGATCACTGATTCTCAGCTGCTACAAATGCATGTAATATACACTCTGATTCTCAGTCATTTCTGATCACTGATTCTCAGCCACTACAAACGCGTGTATATTCTTCCACCCTGAAGCTTCACCACGTACATCATCACATACACATATAAATATTCGTCTCAATCACTGATTCTCACACTTTCTCTTTCTTTCCTTCTTTAACATTTTTATCTTTATTAAATAAGACCTATCAATATAATACTGATCTATTCGGTGTGAACTTCTTACATCAATTTTCTTCTTCAGATCTTTCACTTCAATCAAAAGTATATTTAAGAAGTTAAATATACATTTCTTTAATAGTAAAAGTAAATCTTGAGATGAGATATAATCATTCTTTAATAAACTTCTAGTAGTAGAGAATATCTCAAGCTTAGTAACAGTACTTGTATATTTCTCAGTAAGTGAACACTCAAAGATAGACTCTAAAATTCATCATAGCTGATGAACTCATGTATTTGACAGACAGACTTAATTAAATATAAGATAGATATTCTTTATTAAATTTTTATAGCATTTCATCTTCAGCTTATAGCTATCATTGAGATATTTCATATCTAGATTAATTACTTTGAAGAAGTCAGGTTTTTCAGATCAGTTGACAAGACTCATAATTATAATTACTTAATACAGAGAAGGAATTTTAGCAGATTAAAGTATTTAAAAATAATGAAGTATCTCAGTGACATAATTATATTAATCAGTATTAAGAAAGAAGATAATCAGAGATGAAATAAAGTACTTAAGAAGTTCAATATTATCATACTTAACAGCATAGTATATTCAAATGAATAATTCATATTCTTAGAGAAGATAATATATAATACAGAATTCAATATCTTGAGTAAGCTCAGAGATTTAAGAGTCAATTTCATTTCAGATATTAAGAGTAAATGCTTTAATATATACATCTTTAATAAGCTGAAGATACTGTGAAGAACTAAGCTATTATATAATAGAATTAATATCTTCTAAGCACTTAAAATTACTAACTGAATAATCTCAATATTGTATAATAGTATAAAATAGAGCAAGACTTTAAGATATAAAGCTCTGAGAAATCACTGACTTAAGAAGATAATATTTCAGATTGACAGCAGTTATAGAATTTCAGTTTCAATAAGTGAGATTGAACTGAATACAGTGATAAGCCTTCTCAGAGACTTCAGCTTTAAAATGAGTACAGACAATGATAAAGAGTAGATTTATTTAAATATAAAATCATTCAGAAATAGAATAAAGTTAGTTACATTATTTAAAGATATCTGTAGATTTTGACTGCTCTATCTTGAGTAATTAAATGAGTTTTATAGTTAAAGTATCTTCATACACTGAAAAGAGATAAGTTGAAAATGCTGTATAATCTCTTAATAAATTAAGAAAATTATTAAATATCTTTTTATGAACTCTTATAGTTTCTACAATAGTGTTCTTATTTTTAAAAATAGCACTCAACTGCTGAAAATGCATTCTATGCACAGAAAGTGTATTAATAACAGACATTTAAAATAATAAATCATTTATAGTACTGAAAACACTTTTAACTTTAATATTATAAATCTTTCAAACAGTATCTGAAATAAGACATGATATTATTTACTTTCAAAGCTCATTATCATTGTCTATTATATCAGATACATCAATAATTTCTTACAGTGTTAGCAGTTTTATGAAATTATACATAATCTGAGTTAGATTAGTTTCTAAAATATCAGAAGAAATAATCACAGCAGCAGTAGTCACAGCAGTTATGAAATTATTATACTTAATTATCTTATTTTATACAGTCTTCTTGAAGTTCATATTATCATAGACTATAATAGCTCAAGAATCTTTGACAAGCTGCTGAAGTTTAATTTAATAGTAAGAATTAGTTAAGTAATTAACTCAGAAGTTGATAGAAGTTTAAAGAATATATCAGAAAATAACAGATATTATCAGAAATTACTAAAAGTTTGAGATATTAGATAGAAATATTAATAAGTTAAGAATATTAAGTTATATTTTCTCTTATTTAGTAATTTTCATTATTAATCTATTTCTTATTACATAGCTATGACAGAGTTCAAAGTCAGAAATGATTTCTATTACTCATTATTTTACTTCTGAGTTATAAAAATATACAGAGAGAATAGAGCTGAAGAAGTTTGAGTTTTTCAAGAAATAAGAGTAATATATAATACTTATAATAATAAATAGTTATTTGATAGCTGTTATTTCATCTGAGTCTCATTCATAGCTCTTTTAATTAACACATTTATTTTTTAAAACAGAAGTAAGTAGATTAAATCAGATTGATATATTAGTCTGAATAATCTCAAAAGCAGTCTGAAAGTCAATAATATTCAGATCAGAATCATGATTGAATTTTATAAAGAAGAAAGTATTAATAAGATATTTCAGCTTCTATTTAAGTAAGACAGTATAATATTGATTATCATTAAATATTTCTGCTTTGAAAAGTGCTGAATATAGTATATTTCACTACTTTGTAGAAGTACTGTATCATTAATGAGTTAAGATATCAGAACTCTGAATTTAAGTCTCTATAAAGATCTTTATTTCTCAACTATTTTACTGTAATATTCTGATAATACAAGATAATTTCAATCATCTTTTCTGTCAGTTATAAGATATTATAGACAGATACTGTAAGTCACAGCAGTTCAATTATAAACAAGCTTGTAAGATATCAGTATCAGTATCAGTAATCTCAAATTCTAAAGAAGTATTAATAGATTTAAACTCTGTTAAGTCACTGTCTAATATATTATATTCATTATCTACATTGTTAAGAGACTGTAGTAATTGTTAGACTGGCTGCTGAGATCATGAATTTCACATTTAATCTCATTTAATCTGGTCTCATACATTTCTTGACATGAATTCCGCTGGGACTAGTCATTAAAAAAACATGTAAAGTGACTATATATCAGATCTTAAAATGAAATCATGACTTGAAAAAAATGAGAAAGTGATCTTATTTAATCTCATTTAGTCTCATTCTTAGCATAAAGTTACTATTTTTAGACATTTTAAGGTTTTTTTTAGACTATTTTTAATTTTTTAAAAAGTAATGCTTTTTGATAATGCTCAAATGAGATTTAAAGTCATTTAAAGCAATAAAAATAATTTAAATTAAGAAGTGAAAATCATGATCTCATTTGAAAAATGTGACAAGAGTAGACAGTAAGTCTCACTGAGACAGTATGAGACTACTATCTAATGTTAAAACCATGTAATGAGATCAGTTAAATTGATAATAAGACTATTAAAAAATCTAGTTCTAATCTCAGACACGGTCACACAATCAGTCTAGTAATTATAGAGAGAATTTATCTTTAAGTGATAAAGAATATTGACTGAAGTATGTCTGACATTGAGTGTCTTAAGATTTAAAAGACACACTGTCTTTTATCAATAATTAATATAATAAGAAGAGATAATGAGTTGTAAAATAGCAGAGATAATAGTAGAATGACTGAGAATTTAAAAAATATCAGTTTGATAATGATTAGACAGATATTTAGAATAGATATATAATTCTGAAGTCAATTAAATATTTTATATAAGTGAAGTTGATTTTTCATATATAATGAAACTGTTTCTTCTCAGACTCTCTATGAGATATTAGGTTGCAAGCACATATGAAGTCTCTTATTGATCCAGAAGTTAGCAGGACTTGGCAGAAGTCTAAAGGAGTTTAGTTGGTCGCGCTAATCCGAAAATATCGAGAAGAGAGGCTGAGCATGCTGAGATAAGCTCCGGAGCTTCACATCAAAATGTTCCAGAAGTCCATATGGCAGTACACAGGGTCACTGTCGCCGTCCACTTTCGAATAAACACTTCAACTTTGCCTTCTAGAAGAGTGAAGTTCCAGCAATACTAATATTTTTGTGTGTGCCAACATACCTCCATCTGCTAAAAATGGCAGCATCCCATCTAGCCGGGTTGGAAAGCTTGGCAATAACGCACACCTACGGAGTACTCTGTACATCAACGGTGACAACCCCGACGTCGCCGTGATGCTCATTCGCGATCTGTTTGGCTGGACCTTCCCAAACTTGCGCATATTAGTCGACTACTATGCGCGCGAGGCCAATGTAACTGTATAGTATACCTACCCGACTTCTTCGGGGGGGTTATATTGTCATTCGAGAACATCACTGCTGGCAGGTTTGACTTACTCAACCTCCCGAACCTCATGAAACAAAACGGTCGCGATATACGTGAACCCGAAATCTTCGAGTGCGCCAGGGCCCTGCGTCACACATATGAGAAGGTTGGCGCCATAGGCTTCTGCTAGGGGGTGGGCCTTTTTCAGACTGGGGGCGAAGGAATACCAACCACCCCTTGTCGACTGTATCTCGATAGGGCATCCAACGTTTCTGACCAAACAGGGCATCGACGAGGTGGTGGTTCCCGTGCAGATTCTGGCTCCCGAAACTGATCACCTGTATCCACCCGAACTCAAAACGTATGCACAGTACGTTTGAGACGATCCAGAAACTGGGCTTGGCAAGCCCTTAGATTATCGGCATTTCCCAGGCGTGGAGCATGCCAGTGCTTGCTTCGTTCGCGGTGATGATAGGCATCGAGGGGAACGTGAAGCGATGACGAGCTAAGAATGCGGCTGTTGGCTGGTTTAAACAGTGTTTATTCGAGTCGTAAGGATGGGATATACCGGGTCCTTTTGATCCCTACTTTGTCTGATTTATGGATGTTGACCACCCGTACACGATCCTTGTCATGAATACGGTGTCTACGGCTGGATATATCTTGATATCGGAATTGCCAAGTGACAATAAGTTGGCTTTTCTTTTTCACTATGCTATATTTGCTACCAGTTGGATATAACACGATGCAATTGAGTACATTTGAAATATTTTAACGCACATCATTCTTATATGCAATTTTACTGTTCAACCCGTTGTAGGAGACATCCAATGCGTGATTTCTTTCACAGAATTAATGGAGGTATTCAACTCTGCTAGTCTGGAAGATGATGGAGGTGATATAATGTAGTAGGCGAACACCTCGCTTAGGCGGAAGCGGTCGGCCCGTAGAGGGAATCCGACAGAAGAAACAATTTGCTCGGTCCGAGTGCCCAGGGATCAAACTTGCCTATTGTGGCTAGCGTTGGCACGTCCCTAACCCTAGCTCGGTAGCTTGGTAGCTCCGAGGTCGCGTTATCAAATCTTCGTTCTGCCCATTCTAACATAAAACCTCCTGAGATTTCAGTCCTGGACTCCCACAAATTGTTCCAACTACGGGACCGGAGACGCTCCTTCATATGACTCTGTAATAGTGTCAAGAAATCTCCCCCACCCTAGTCCGCCTCAAAAACGTAGTAATGGCGACTCGCGCCACCCGCCGCAGCTCTCGCCTTGCTCCGAACACCACTCCGACGAAGCAATCCCCAAAGACGCAAGAATCAATTAACCGTCCTGTCAGTTCCCCAAAGCTTACATCGAAACGTTCTGAACCTACACCATCGAGTAATAAAATCGATAATAAAATCAACGGCGCCCTCGGGGTAGAGCCATATAACGGAGCTGACGACGACTACGCCGTTGTGGGAACTGTGGAAATAGAACATACGAAAGAGGTTATGGTAAAGCAAGAGACAGTTGAAATCTCAAAACGAGGTACGAAAAGAAAGGCGACAGTATCAAAGTCCCAACAGTACTCTAGTGAAGAGGAACAGGAAGTCGAAGTAAAAACCCGGAAGGAAGAGCGGACGAAAAGGACAAAAGTAAAGGAGGTCACTATAGAAATGAAGCCCCTGGCGCCTCGAACTGCGAATCTGCGGATGTTTGTCGGAGCGCATATTAGCGCTGCGAAAGGTGTGTATTGCGTTCATACAGATATATATTCCCCACCACATCTATATCGCTACTCTATAGCAATATATGTCAATCAAAGCTAATACTTGCTGTAGGAGTCCATAATGCAGTCACAAACAGCGTTCACATCGGGTTAGTATTTTGTGCCGAAAATCCCGTATCCATTCCCCGGTTTTATAGCTGAAATCAGGTCTTTTTTTCTAACCTGAGGTAGGGGAAATGCCTTTGCCCTGTTTCTAAAATCACAGAGAAAATGGGAGAACCCGCCATTACAAAACGAGCATCGAGACCAATTTCGGCAACTTTGCTCAGATTATTCCTATGATGCTTCGAAGTAAGCCACCATTTGACCTCAACCCTTCCAAGGGAAGGCACCTACTATGTAAGCTAATTCAGATCCAGATATGTTCTTCCTCATGGCTCGTATTTGGTGAATCTGGCGCAAGAAGACCCGACAAAAGCGAAGCAGGCATACGATTCCTTTCTTGATGATCTGAAACGTTGTGAAGAACTTGGTATCAAGCTTTATAATTTCCAGTACGTTTCAGTCCAGGATCTAGTCCCCATACATGCAAAGCATTCCATGGAATAGGTAATAATTGATTCATTACAAACAGCCCGGGAGCAACCAACCAGACTACCCTTGAGTCTTCATTATCTCGATTGGCACAAGCTCTCATCTCTGCTCTCAAAGCTACGACAACAGTTGTTCCAGTTCTCGAAACAATGTGCGGCCATGGAACCACAATAGGAGGCTCACTATCGCATTTCAAAGCACTTCTTGCCCTCATTCCAGATACCTACCGCTCTCGCATTGGGATATGCGTGGACACATGCCACAGTTTTGCGGCCGGGTACGACCTCCGTAGCCCTAGTAGCTGGAATAATTTCATGGAAGAATTCGATAAAGAAATAGGCCTGCAATACCTACGAGCTTTCCATTTGAATGACTCCAAAACGCCACTGGGTAGCCGACGAGATTTACACGCGAATATAGGAACAGGATTTCTGGGTCTGAGGGCATTTCATAACTTGATGAATGACAAGAGACTAGAAGGCATCCCGATGATATTAGAAACTCCCATTGACCGACCTGCGAAATCGGACGCAGAGACGGCAACTGGACAACCGGACGACGAATACGGAGTGTGTAAGGACGATCATTCAACCGAAACGACTACCAAGAAGAAAAATAGCCGTACCAAGAAGGGGCCAGCTAAGAAAGCAAAACCTGGTAAGCCGGTTATGATTGAGGATAAATCCATATGGGCGAAGGAGATAAAACTTCTCGAGTCGCTTATTGGAATGGACACTGAGAGCGAGGAATTTCTCAGACTGGAGGCGGAATTGGCCTCGCAGGGGAAAGAGGAAAGAGAGAAACATCAAGCGATGTGTGACAAGAAGCGGGATAAGGAGGGAAAACAGAAGGATCTACGAGATATGTTTGCTGTCAATGGAAAGGCGAAGGGGAAGGGGAAAGCGAAAGTGAAAGCTAGTCCTACTAGTGTGGGTAAAAGGAAGAAGGCCGAAGAGGAGAGCACTGATGACTCCGACTAAGTGAATATTTATTCGTAAAATCGCGGAGAGGCGTGCTCCAATTTTTGATGTCAAGATACCTTTCATTTTTACGATATATATTTGGATCGTTGTCCTTGGTTATCCATTCTCAACAAATGTCTCTCTCTACCTATGCTTCTGGGGCGCAATTGGTTAGCGCGTTCGACTGTTAATCGAGAGTTGGAAGTTCTAGCCTTCCCGGGGGGCGGTTGGATGGTTTTGACTCTCACCCACCCCCTTTTTTATTTTTTGATGTCATGTTCTGGCTGCTTTCTTCCATTGTGGAGAATAATAGAATCTATTCAGAGGTAACTAGGGGAAATATTTAATTGAAGGCGCAGGTTAAGGTGAAGTTCAACCAACGCTTGAGATATTGCCGGGTATATTCAAGTCAAGTCTTGTCTTTGGAAGGGTGTTCGGTATAAAATTATGGGGCAGGATTGGGACAAATGTATTTCGAGTGGAATTGAGTTTTCGGGGGGTACAAAGTTCAATATGACAGGAAACAGGAAATCTACTCGATATTAGAAACGGAAGCAAGAAAGGCGGTAGATGAAACAATGCAAGGCGAGTAGCCACCGGGAAAACAGAATGGATACGGAGAGGCTAAGATATATATGTGCCTTCCCTCCTCCGGCATTCATTATGGATCCAACCGACCGGCTCCTACTCCTTCATCTGCTTGCTCGCAGAAACACACCAGTTATTCCAATCCGAGAAGAACGACGGCTGGACATGACACTTCTTGCTGGTAAGCTGCTTCTTGCGCGTCTCGGCATAAATATCGACAATACCGGACAAACTCTCCTTATCATGTGCCACAAGAATCTTCACCAGCAGCAAACTCGCCTGGCTACAGGACGACGCGTGAGCAGCCGGCGCGCTATGCGTAGCTTCCTGATGCACAGCTTTCAATAGCTCCCAGACCGGCTCCGCAGATTCAATGGAGGGGATGCTAGCCGCTCCCTTGCATTGTTTGGTATATTCTCTGAGCACATTGCTGGCGCGAGCAGCGATCTGTTTGGTCCTTGACTTGCGGCTGAGTTGTAATAGCGGCATAAGAAGGTCCAGGGCGAGGATGTTGGAATGGCACTTCTTCACATAAATTTCGAGCAGGTCGAGCACGCGGTTTTTGAAATTCAGCATGGTCTCCTTTGCGTCTTTTTGCTCTTTCTTTTTGCTGTAGACTTGTTTACGGGCGCGGAAGACTTTTGCGATTTGGTCGTCGAGGGCTTCCATTTCGTCGTCATCCATGGAGGCATCCTCAGAGTCAGAGGTGGCATCAATGTCCTTGTCGGCTCGGTGGGTACCTAATGCTGAAGCAAGCTTCGCTTCGAAGGCCTGCAGTTCATCATCGTCTTCCTCTTCCGACTCTTCTGATTCGTCCTCGCTGTCGTCCTCGGAGGCCTGGCTGATTACTTCAACATCATCCTCGTCTTCGTCATCATCATCATCATCATCATCGGAGTTTTCAGCATCAACATCAACCATTTCTATATCACTGCCAACTTCTTGACTCTCAAACATTTCCTCTTGGCCAGCGAGCGTGTCCTTAGCTTCAAGCACCTTTTTGGGAAAAGAGAGTCAGCATATGTCAAGTATATCAAAAAGCAAATAGAATGGGGACAAGCATACATCAATCAAAGATTGAAGACCAGTCGCAGTAACCTGATCCGCAAAAGCGCCAAACACTTGTTCACTCATCCGACGGAATAGTTGCGATTGTTTCGACGAGAAGCTGAGGAGGATTTCCACGAGCGCATCTGACGCCTCGTTTGCCTCGTCACGCTCTGCCTTGTGACCGAGAAATTTAGAGTAACAGAATTTTAGCTCGTCAAGCATCGAAACAGCGTCGGCATCCCCATTATACACTTGCAATATCGTCATCGAGTACAGGAGTTTGAAAGCCTGGATACTAGATCCTTCCTTTTTCTCGGCGCGTTTTTCCTTTTTTGGGGTCGGTAAAGTTAGCCAGAATATATCAAACGAGGAGGGTTGATGTACTGTTTTCTACCTTAGAAGTAAGCTTCTTTAACGTCTTGAAAGCCGCCGCAACAGATCCCTTAATGTCTTCACCCATTTCAATGACAAATTTGCCCCAGTCCCCATCCACATCCATTTCATGGATCTTGCGAACCACGGCATAAGGGATGGCAGCTGGGCTTTTCCGGCCACTGATGACGATATTCAGACATGACATCAGTCTATTACGAAACAATTCCTGGGTGGCTTCCATGACAGGAGGTTCTGCTGGCGTTTGTTTGCTTTTGGCGTTTTCGTTAGATATAAAATAAGCAAAGCGAGCCAAGAGGAACAAAACACTCTCGATTGACGACTGTAGCTCGTCCGAATCAGTGGCGTTAATGGCAGCCGCTTGTGTCCTCACAACCGAGAGTAAATATGCTGTGAGTTGTTGGCGAGTCGACGCGGCAGCTTTTACATCTTCCATGCCAGGTCTCGCAATCATACTTTCAAACAACGGGATAATCTCCTTCAAAGTATCCGCACTGACCGCAGAAATCATCTTTTCAACAGTCTTGGTCTTCGTAATGTGGTCAAAATTTACCGCACCAGTCGGGCCCATTAGTCCGTTAATAGCGGCCACAATAAACTCCGGCTCTCTCGCTACACGCGCCTGGACGGATTTCAGTGCTTTGGCAGCTATCCGGTGAAGATACCGATCTTCAACAGCTAGCTGATTCATGAAACACCGCATGAGGTTTTTGGTGAAGACTGTCTCAGCGAGATGTGGAGGAGCCTCGTTCATGCTCTTTATAAAAAGAAGGAAACCCCAGTATTTACGTTCCTCGGAGGACGCAGCCGCAAATAATCCTTCTACTCGACATTAGTGCAAATTCCAAAGTGCATGTTTAAAGGTTAAAACTTACTATCAACAACCTCAGTCCAAATATCAGTGAAACTAGCCTGAGTGGCTTTTGAATCCTTGGTCTTTGACGATCCGTTCTGTCCGGGTGGTTGTGTAGAGAGCTTTTGCAAGACAATGTCCCACGCAAAATGCAATTTTGGATTCCAGACTCCCGAATTCTGTGCTTTACCATTCTCCCTCCCATGTTCAGATTGTGATTCGGACGTTTCTTTCATTATTTTCGCAAGGGAAGTCTTTTCCCGTACGTGTAGTGGACTACCATGCTGCCATACATCCTCAGGGAATTTCATTGTTGCAAAAAGATCTTTTGCCGCAATCCATATGGCGACACCTTCCGGGGTTTTAGCAAGGCCATTCTGACAGAGCGAATCCAATGCCGCCTCAGCATATTTAACATCAAATTTGTGAGTCTGAATTTCTCGTAAAGAACAGAAGACTATCCATCCGCACTCTTCACGAAGCCATGGTTTCTTCTTGGCTAGGTCAAATAAGGTATTGAGGATCTTAATCCATTTTTCGAACGGCACCTGGGACTGAAAGAGCACTGAAGATTTAATAAGAGCTTCCGCTCCAAAAAGTCGTCCAAAATGGTGATCTCTCTCCTCCTATCATCAAGGTTAGCAAGAACGAATGATTTCATATACTTGGGGAAATCAATAAAAGAGCTAGCTAATCTTACCTGGCCTGATGCGGAACCTCCAGGATTTGACTGCGCTTCCCAAATCTCAATCGCTCTTGATATATCCAAACTCGAAGATGGCAGATCTCTACGAGACGAGAAAAGTTGAGAAAGTGTTTCCGTCAAAGCAATTGAGAACCCGATTCTAGCGGCCTTTCGGCCGCTGCAGAGTCCACGAAATAAGCGTTGCAGTGTCTTTTCGATTTGCTCATCTGTAGGTTTCTGATCGGGAGTAAATCGAGACACAAGCCGCTGAGCAGCTTTTAATCTAATCTCGTCATTCTCGTTGGCTAGGTCTTCGTAGATTTCTACCAGCTTAACGTCCACGTTAACGGGTTCGCGACGTCTTTTTCTGGACGGTGGTGGAAAGGAAGCCATGCTTTTCTATCCCTGGTAAATATGAGGATAAGAATGCAAAATTACTCTCTATGAATGGCGGTCTCTTTCCTCCTTAATTGATATATGTCTTAAGGGCTATGTGTCTTAAGGGCTATGAAGAATTTCAGGTGTATATCTAAATTAGTTATTTTGACGAAATTTCAACCAAAAAAATATTTTGATGCTTGGACATATTCGGACTAGCGCCATCAGATAATGCTTTCACAAGGGGTTAGCATAAAAATCATGGCGTGACAAATAAAGAGGCTAATCGCCAGCGTCGCTTCCCCAGCGGCAAGTCTCTGTGGCGCAATTGGTTAGCGCGTTCGACTGTTAATCGAGAGGTTGGAAGTTCGAGCCTTCCCAGGGACGTTTATTTTCTTCTTCTTTTTTTTTCCCCCTCCCTTGTGTGTGTTTCCTTCCCCTAAATGAGTAACTATTCCGGGCACACAGCCAGCGAAAACTCACCTCACACAAATGGTGAGAGCCATCCAAGAGGGATAACGCTGATTCTTTTATTTTGGCTTTCAAAGCAAGGACGAGCAGCTGCCGCTATCTGACGGATCAACAATTGCGTGAATTGTTGTTGTGTTCAGATGGGCTGGTCAAAGAGATACAAACGTTGAAGGATTCAGGGCTTCGCGTTTCCACGACTTGAGAGACCAATATACATTCCCTTTCTCCCATGCACCGACCCGCAGAAAACTGACGAACATGAAACCCTAGGGCAGGGTCACCTCAGAATATTTGCCCTTCCTTCCTAGACAATTTGCGGGAGAAGGAATGATACCTTCCTCGTACCCCGTATATTACGGGGAAATTCTTATTACTCACGGAGGTTTACCAGGGGCATATTGCCTGACGAAGGACGCGACAGATTTTCACCCCTTGCGCTTAAAATGAATTTCATCTTGGAGGTAATATGAATGGACACAACACCGTTATGTCCATGAGAACATTGTCATCGAGCTGCCAGGGGTCTGTCTACACAACATCCACAAGGGCCGCCTAACACCCGTGATCCTGAGCAAGAAACGCAGAAAGTCCAAAAACTCTGTGCAGTCGTATTGGGCTTCGCGTTCATATGGTGAATTTATGGATCAAGCCACTTCTCCTGAAGAATAATAAGAAGATATACTTGCAGGAAGTCTAGTCATTGAGTGTGTTCCGCCTTGGCTCTAGGTGAGGACAAAATTAGAAGTGACATAGGATTTATGTATACTGAATTTAACGAGGTTATCAGCGGAGTTTACTGTTCTATCACCGGAGAAATTCTCTGTTCGAATAGAAGTTGATACAGCAAGTCATCCGCTTTCGCCCTTATCCAGTCGAAAACAAGCCAACAATTGAACCAACTTCCCACAGATATGTCTCTTGCATTCAAAAGCCCACCCAACGGTCCCATTAGTCAGAATCAAACGCCGCGAACAATCCTTCCTATAAAAGTAAAAATTTGGGGAGTGCGTCCATTGTCATCCAAAAAGGTTATCAGGAAGACAAGTAAAAAAAAAAAATAAAAAAAAAAAAATGAAAAAAAATAAAAGAGTAAATAAAAAGTAAACAGTTTTTAAAAAGACTCGTCCCTGGGAAGGCTCGAACTTCCAACCTCTCGATTAACAGTCGAACGCGCTAACCAATTGCGCCACAGAGACTTGTTACTGGTTGATTTCGTAACCCCCGCCATATTTATTATGTTGACTACGCTCTCGCAAAATTGATGGTTAACCACACCGAGCAGAGTCCGTCGCGATTACAACTTCAATTCGAAAAGAACAGAGACCAGGTTCAGCCAACATCCTCCACGGCGGGGACCCGATATATCAGCTGGACCTTACCACAGACATTCTGGAGCCAAACCAACGCTGATGTCCAACTCGACACAGTTATGCGGCCGAGGAACAGCCCAAGGATAGGATGCTAACCTAGCTATCCTAGATCCAAGCTCCTTCGCGATCTTGCCGCGACCCCACAGCAAAGTGCTACAAAGACGTCTTCCCAACCCAAATCAATGAGCCAATAAACGACTCCACTTGCTTTGGGTGGGGAATAATATCTCTCTATGATATTGTGGCTGGCTGGTTCATTTGGTGAGCTACATAGCCAGATACTTGTACAACCTGCTGAAACATCATCCCCAAATACTCTTTGAGGCACTCTGGTTTATTAAACAATAAAATTCATGACTTGAGACCACCTGGCTCCTCGTCGGCACCTCAGCGAATTTCGGTCTAAGTCATGTTTGACTTGGGCTGCTTCTCTGCCTCTATGGGATCGTGGATTGTTCAGAGAATACAGAGTAAAGATTCTTTGCTTGGCAGAGCGGGGAGTGATGAGGGGTACTTGGATGTCATCTTAATCCATGTGGCGAATTTGGTTTTGAGGAATGCGGAAACGCCCCAAAACAAAGGATCTAATGACAATGGGGGAGCTGAGGGCTGCTGGAGCTCGATGGCCTCAGGAATGGAGTGCGGCGGTGCAGTTTGCTTCGCTCTGCCAACCTGTTTTTCCAGATTGCAGATTCTTTGTTAGCTTGATCGATAGCACCCTTTGGCCTCCTGATTCAGTCCACGGGTAGATAGCTTCTTAAAGGGGCGATCCTAGCGGTTAGCTAGTTTGATATTGGTGCAGACCTCACTCACCCCAGCATCGTTCCCGAGCTATTTTCCACCCCGCCATCAATTTTTAACCAGCTGGTTCAACCACACAACTATATAAGCATTACTCCACCCCCATATTTTCTAGACTCTCAGTTATTCTCATTCTAGTTTCTACCTAAACCCCGCAAACCAAACAAGCAAACAAGCAGATAGATTGAACAAACAATGGACTTCATCAACAAAATCGCTCGCTCCCAGGACCAGCAGAAAGAGAAATCAGCCGCAACAGACCACAAGAAACAAGGGGCCGGAGGATTCCTCTCCGGATTTGGTGACAAGCTCAATAGCGCTGCTGGCGGCGGCAGGGAGAGCGAGAAGAATGAAGATATGCTCGATAAGAGTACGTTAACTATATATCACACCACTTCTTTTCCTAAAGTATTTCATTATTTTCTCCATCCACTATCTGTTCTTCTTTTTTCTCCTCTGCAATATCACGCACCGCGCACCGCGCACCGCAAGCGCCTCTTTCTAACTCTCCTCCACTCGAATCGCTTCAATACATAACTAACATGTGGACATGATTGTATCAGGCATCGACTTCGTCCAGGAACGCTTCCTGGGCCAGGGCCCGCAGGACAACGAGAGCGCGTTAGAGCAGGCTAAGGATGAGAAGATTTCAGACTTCATCCGTGACCAGTATAAGAACAGGACTGGTACGGAATGAAGAAGCTCTTATATATGTGTACAATGTACATGTACATATTACGTGTGTATATGTCAACCACTGACATAGATATTTGTTGCTCACAGGAAAGGATTTCCCCATCAAAGATAAGAAGACGCGATTCGGCTGAAAAGTGATGGGATTTCCTCCCCTGCATCTAGGCGGTTAGGTGGTGTGGGAGGCAGGAATACGCATACATCCTGGGGGGTTGTGGGGTGAATAAGATCTTTTTTTTTTTTTTTTTTTTTTTTTTTTTCAATGTGAAATGATGATGGGTATGAATGAGATATATTCTATGCATGCATGATGTCTGATATATATGTATCTATATATGTATCTGGGTGAACAGAACATGAAAATAGAAGAAAGATATCTATATAACGAACATTTTCACCTCTCCCATGACTATGTATTGATGAGTGAGCTTGGTTTTTGTCAGGGATCCTTGGATGGATATTTATTCCCGGATAGTAATACATAGCTATATATCAAGACGGACTAGGGCCGTAGGTGCTGCGCAAATTATGCTGAAACTACAGACCATTTGCGGGCTGCACAGAATCCACCTATCCTAGGAATTAGAGTGAGCCAGGTATCAAGGGGATTTCCATAATTATTCAGTCTCTAGTGATGAGGTTAAAATAGCACACTGTCACTAGGAGCATAAAACAAGTTCAGTTGTGTGACAGGAAAATCCAGGCAAGCAAACAACAGATCCATGAAGATATATATAACGTAGTAAGGAATTGAAGCATTGTCACTATGGTGCTGCTAATGAATAGCAATGAATAGAATTAGATCTACGGAGTAGACTGAGCTCCATTGGCTTGTTGAATGACCCCTAGAAATATGGTGAAAGAATGAACAGATCGAGGTTGGCCCAGACCACGCAGAGCCTCAACTTCGACGTCCAACGTCCAACGTTCCTTGACAGAACATCAAATCTGTACTCCATCGTCACCATTTCCAACCCACTGTCTGTGTACAACTACTCAGCGTATATGTTTATTTACCTCTCTCATTGAGTAATTACTTCCATCCACGCGACTCTCTTTGCCTAAGTATTTGCTAGTGCCAGCTGCTCCACTCGCTGACCGCTGCCAAGCCCAGTTCGACGTTTAAAGTCCAGCTGCCATTCGGCTAGTCTCCAGACCACCAACACCTGCAGCCAGGAATTTCTCTCCTTTCTTAGCACACTCCGTCCCTGGTACCCACGGTTGAAGGAGAGGAGTGTTTTATAGCACTCGGGTCTACACATTCACGCCCAATGGATTGAAACTAAGGGCAGCCTCTCCCTACGTTTGAAACCCACCTTCTACGGTTGCATCAAATGGGCGAAGGCTCCCTAGACTCCAAGGGTGCACGGAGAACCTCTTTGATATCGGTCCACAAGAGCCTATCCCTGCCCCCTCCTGCTCCCTACGATCCCGATCCCCTCAGCACTCACGAAGTCGAACCCTTCACCACCTACAGGAAGAATAAAAGTAGACACGAAGAGGGGGCCCATTACAGCGAGGGAGAGCACAGGCACCTACAAGAGGAGGATCAGGAGAAGGAGGAACGGGATCCTCTCCTGACGGGAATTGGCGCCCGATCCGATCGTTCCCGCCATTCCTCTTTTGCTGAAAGCGAGGTGCTTGAAATGGATTTCCTCGCCTCGGATGACGATCTCAACGATGACGAGGAAACCGGATTGACCGCTAAGGAGCGCAGACAGAGATGGAAGCAACGCAAACGACATCGTCGGGAACTAGATGCTAGAATCGTCGAGGTCAAGATCTCTGAGGATGGCCGCCGGCTGGCGGATAGGGCAGTGATCAAAAGACTAGGCATAAATGCGATATTGATTGGATCGTGGTATATATTTTCGTTGTCGATATCAATTGTATGGACGAATCCCGTTTGTTGATATCTTCCTATCTTCCTATTTTGCGATATTGTTTCTCTTTCCCCTTGAGCTGACTGTATCTCAACTTTTGCAGTATAATAAATGGATGTTTTCATCCGATCACCTTAATTTTCAATTCCCCCTCTTCACAACCGGCCTACATATGGCTGTGCAATTTACCCTATCCTCTATTGTGCTCTACCTTGTCCCCTCGTTACGACCACATAACGCATCCTCATCCGCCCATTCCGCCATTACTGGCCAGCCGCCGAAGCCCTTGGTGTCGAAACAATTCTACTTCTCCAGACTTGTCCCCTGCGGAGCCGCTACATCTTTAGATGTGGGACTGGGCAACATGTCTCTCCGATTCATCACTCTCACATTCCTAACTATGTGCAAGTCATCCTCCCTCGCATTTGTCCTTCTCTTCGCATTTCTCTTCCGTCTAGAGACTCCCTCTCTAAAGCTCATTCTCATCATCGGCACCATGACCATCGGGGTTGTAATGATGGTGGCAGGAGAAGCAGCATTCAATGCCCTCGGCTTCAGTCTCATCATCGCATCTGCATTCTTCTCAGGCTTTAGATGGGGTCTAACCCAAATCCTCCTTCTCCGACATCCTGCAACCGCAAACCCTTTCACCATGCTCTTCTTCCTCACCCCGATAATGTTCGTTTGCCTCATAACCCTTGCACTCGCCATTGAAGGAGCTGGCGAAATCATCGAGGGCATCGGCATCCTGACAGCAAATGGCATCCTGCGCGGTATCGGCATCCTCCTTTTCCCCGGCTGCCTGGCTTTCTGCATGATCGCCTCAGAATTCGCGCTCCTCAAACGCTCCTCAGTTGTTACTCTGAGCATCTGCGGCATTTTCAAAGAAGTCATCACCATCAGCGCCGCCGGCCTCGTCTTCCACGACCCATTGACCCCAATCAACATCTCCGGGCTCATCATCACCATAGGCGCCATTGCCTCGTACAACTACATGAAAGTCACAAAAATGCGCCGTGACGCCCGGCTCAATGTCGCCGAGAGCGCTAACCCTATTGACGCCGACTCGGACGAGGAGGAATCACTAAGACCACCCGCAAGCAGCAACCCACTCACTAATAATGACGCTAATAGCATTAATAAAAATTATACCAACCCGAGCCTAACTACTCGCCTTGGCCTCTCTCTCAACACATCCCCAACCAACAAGGACAGCATATATACCCCCACAAACACCAACGTTCCCACAGACGAGAATACCGTCCTAACCCAGAGCGGCAGCGGCGAAGACCGAGGGCGCAACTCCATCCGCGCCAGGGTCAGTGGAACGACAGGCGCATCTTCTTCCCTTGTGCCCGGCACAGCAGGACTCTCCGGCGCAGTTGCCGGGGACCCATCCCTCCGCCCCCCGCTCCGAACCAGCGGTAGTGCCTTTGACGAAAATGGTCCCAATGCTAATGACATGCCACTGTCTTCGTCTTCGTCGTCGTTGGCATCATCAACGCGCGCACCGATGCCGGGAGTACAACAACGGAGTTTGAGTTGGAAGGGAGGCAGATCGATTTCTCCGAGGCCGCCAGCACCGTCCCCGTCGAAGATGCCGTCACCGGAGAAGATGAGTCGAGATTGAACGTTTCCCCTCCCCCTTTTTGGTTCCCTTTTATTTTATTTTGCCTATTCCCCTTTTACCGTGCTTTCCATACTTTTGCTTCCCCATTTTTCTTTTTTCTTTTCTTTTTCTTTCTTTTCTTTCTTTTCTTTTCTTTTTCCTTTTTCTTTCTTTTCTTTTTTTCTTTTCTTTTTCTATTTTTCTTTTTTTTGGATAGCGTTGGGTTGATTTCAGGGCTGTAAATTTTGCCCTTGTTTTGTATTCGTGAAAGTTAGGCCCTGAGTTGGTTTCTGGTACTTAATTTTTTTTTGGTCTTCCTTTCCTTTGATTCGGGTTGTTTAAGTTAGTTTGCTTTGCTTAGAGTTGGACATTAAAGGGATACAGAAGTGCGATTCCATTGAAATTTGTCCACCTTTTTTTTTCGGGGAATGGTTTTTATTAGAGCACAGGGATTTCGAAATTCGGGGTTGGTGGAAGTTTTGTTTCTTCCTTAACTCCCCTTCCCCCATAGTTACCATCATCATCCTCACCTAACGTTTGTAGAAAGGAAGTAAACGGGATAGACAGGGGAGGTAGATAGATGGAGGTGGTGTGACAAGCAGGTGGTTCTATTTTGTTATAGCCTGTTTTGCTTTACCTATACACCAATTAAGTATATGTATGGATTATATATATACTTCCTCCCTCTCCTTGCTTCTCTTTTCATCTCTAGCCCCCCTCTCGGAACGTCATATATATATCCCACTTCCTTCTATCAACTAGCCTCACGCTATCTCACCAGTCTATATAGCTATACAATCTCACAGCCTTTTTTTTTTCGGCTTTTGCCTTTTAATCTGCGCGATTTACAAGTTGGATCTAACCTCCGGATTCCATTATTCCCTCCCCAATCATCCATCCACCGCTTCCTGATTTCTATAGAGTAATATATATCCATCCCTAATCACCGTATGCTACCATCACGCGCAAGGTTTAACCAGGTAGTCAATTCATTCATAACATACGCTGCGAAAACTGCCCGAGCCGTCAGCCATCATCCCCCTACCTCTCGGTAGCAGGAAAAACAAGTGTTATAAGCTGATATATATGTGTTACCTACTACCCCCGAAAGAAAGCCTCCCTCCAAAAAAAAAAAAAAAAAAAAAAAAAAAAAAAAAAAAAAAAAACGGATAACAGATAAAAAAAGACAAAGGTTCACTTGGAAATAATAATAATCAATCACCCTCTTTTCTTTCTTTCCACTCGAACCCATCCATCCATCCATCCATCCATCCCTATTCCTTACACAAAGGCACAGAGCCACCTAGGTCCTAGGTATGTATATCCGCCCAACCCAACCTTGGAGGGAAATTTCCCCAGGCCGCCCGTCCTGGCCTCATTGAATCCATTCTTTTTCACCCCCTGCTTCTCCTCACCACACCCCCCCCCTCCTTGCCATCGCTACCCCGGTTGTATCTCGCCGGCCGGTTGGATATATTATATATATATACACCTTACATGCGTAATGTATAGAGAGGTATATACCTCCAAAAAAACTCCCATTGCACTCGCACCCATCAATCCAACCAATCATCCTCACAAGGAAGGGGAACGGCGGGGGGGGGGGGGCGGATTCTAAAACAAGTAGATAGGATAAATAACAGCTCCCATCCCATCCCATCCCATCCCATCTTATTATTCCCTTCTCTTTCCCCCACCACCCAACCGCTGAACAAGGCCATACATAGATACCTTCTTTAAAAACGAAAAAAAAAGATATAGCCCTGTTTCAACTACTACCTACCTCCATAATAGAAGTCCAAACCGTCCACTGTGTGAGTGAGTGTGTATATAGTGTGTTTTTATTACTCCATATCACGCCAACGCCAACGCCCTCATGCTCATGCCCCATGTTCCATGCTCCGTGCTCCATGTCCCATGCTTCCATCCTCATGCCCATACCATCTCATCACGTCTCCCATTTCCAGCATACCACCGGCAAATGTCCACCACATAAAAAGAGAAAAAGACGAAAGAACACAAATATGTAACTGTATATAACGGGATTGAAAAGACTGGAGAGAATCAGGTAGATACGATATGGGCATTTAATTTTTTTGGGGTTTAAAAAACGACCATTTCTTTCTTTCTCCGCTCCTTTCCCTTCTTCTCTGCATTCCCCTCCTCTTTCGCTACCGAAATTTATTATGTTTCCCCGCTTAACCGCCTTTCCTCTGGTTAGTAGTAGTAGTCGTTCCGGGTGTCGATGACCGGGCTCCATTATTGGTGGCGTTGTTATTGGTGATGGGAAGCGCTACGGCGGCTGCTTTTGCATTTCGATCGCGGTCCCTGGATGTGGAGGTGGAGGAGTTATTCGTGTTCGCATTTGCATTTGTATGATGGTTATTAGCGGTATTACTATTGCGAGACTGATGGGAGAAGTGGCTGGAATTGGCAATTGCGGCGCTGGCGCTCCGGAGTTCGATCTTCTTGCGTTCCATCTCAAGCTGGAATGGGGAAAACAACAACATAAATATTAGTTTCAATGACTCGAACCCACCATTGTTGTTTTTTGGATCAAATGAAAACGAACGAGAAGAAATAGTGAAAAAAACTGGGTAAATCTGTCACTTACCACTTTCCTAACTCTGGTCAGCGCCGCGCTCACCCCGCCGTTATCAGTCGTTAGAGAGCGGCAGTTATCAATGTGATACGGCTTAGAAATGATCACAGTATCAGCCACGACAATGCTCGTGCCATCCCAGCGCGCAGGCATTGTCCTGCTAAACGCATCGAAGAGATCCTGGGCTTCCTTGCTAACCCCCTTCCCGCGCCGTTGTTCGCGCTCATGGAGTTTGGCAATAGCAGCCGCTTCCCGATTCTTTAGGGCGCGGATATCGAGAGGGTAGATGGAAGGGTACGCGTTGGTGAAGGATGGGTTTTGCTCGGTGGGACTTGATGATGTAGAGTGTGGGGGTAAGGAGAGTAGTTGAAAGTTGTGGATACGGGATATGGGGATTATGTGATAGTCGCTTGGATGGGAGAGGGCAGGAGTGCCGGAGGTCATTGGTGTTGGTAGAGGGGGAGATGTATTGATTGCGATAAGATTGGTGATGGGACATGCGGTGAAGAGAGTCCCCTCGTGCGTTGTGGAGGTTGGAGATGTAGTAGTGACGCGGATACTATTGACGAAACCAATTACCAATTTCATGTTAGCATAACAAGGGGAAAATATTGAGATGTAGAATCAAGCTTGCTCCCAATCAACCAGCAGTAAGTAAGGTATGATAGCCGTCCACTTTTTCACTGGCAGACATCTATTCCAGGCAAGATCGATAAGAGTGCCACTACATATATCAAACACTTACCGGGCACCAATGGCTCCACACAAAGCCATCTCCATCGCGACAGTACCCGACGGCCCAAGGCCCGACGCAACAGGGCCTTTCCCTCCAGTGCTCTGCCGCTTGTTCTCCGCTGCCATGGTGGAAGCGCGTTCGCTAAAACGCAGTCCTCAAAAACCAAGGTTGGAGCACGACGTGTAACAACAAGCGGGAAGCGGGAAACAGTGTGTCGGGTAAATTTACTGCTTCACGAAGACCATGGAGAGACACGTTGGCGGTTTAAAGTGTCCCTTCTTTCCTTTTGCTATAAGAGAGTTGTTGTATACACTTCCCGGCGATTACGCCAATCAATGCAGCTTTTCAATGGGACGATGGGGGTGGTGTAGCGTTATTTTTGAACGTAATTATGGCGGTGCTGAAACGGGCAAAATGAGGCGGGCGGCGGCTGGCGGCAAGGAAATAGCAACCCAAGCTTGTAAAACGATACCGGGAAAGGAGCGACAGAAGGGAAATAACAAGATGAAGAGGGCAAGAAATTAGGTGAAGGGAAATAAAAAATAGAAGAAAACAAAAAAGGGGCAGAAATTAATATAGATAAATTAGGTTGCTAAATTAAGACAAGACAACAACCAGAGCACTCAAATGAAGCAACCGCTCCTCCTCCACCAGCCAGAGAAAACAAAGCACCAGGACTGGTTGAGAGAGCTTCCTGCGCACGACGAGCGGAGAGGAGTAAAAGGACACGAGGGAATTAATTGGGGGGTGATTGAGGTGCTGGAGAGTTGGAGATGGGTTTGGAGATGTTTTCGTTGAACTTCAGAAGGTTTTGCTGCGGGAGGCTAGAGTCAGATGGGCTTGGCGGATTAGTCATCGGCGAGGATGGCCAGAGGGTTTATTTACAAGAATCATTATATACGCTGTATGTAGATACAGCGTGAGCCGGATAAGAGGTAGCTAGCTACATATTGCTTCTGTCTAAAATTCAACTTAAGGAAGAATATTCAATTTTTGGGCTTATATAGGTAGATTAGTTTATAATCCATCCTTAAATGCTCCAGCCGATGTCGATACAACCTCCCGCTTTTACCTTCTACCGTGTCCGTGCTTGGCTCTCTTCTTTCTCTCTGTTTTCCTCGTTCATCTTGTTTATTTTTATTTTTATTTTCATTTATTTGTTATTTGTTGTCCACCTTCCCTTGCATTTTTTTTTTTCTTTTTTTTGAAAATTTCCACATCCCCTTAAACCCAGTTGATCACATTCTGAGTTCGGTGGTATCCTTCCACGGTCCTCCGTCTTTTCGTGCAAGATCGAAAATGATGATTGGTGACAATGAACAGATGAAATAATGCCCCCTAAGCTGTTGTCCTAGCTGTTTACTTCGATATTTAGGAACGGGGCAAATCTAACCCCCATTCTTCCTCCCTTCCCCCTTACACAGGCCACGCCTCGCTTCATTTTCACCACATAGCCATGACTCTATGCTTGGTATGTAGAAGCAGAGACATTACCACCGCGCCCAGTCCAGTTGACATGATGATACTGGCCCTCGGGATACTTCTCATTTGCACACTCGGGCTTGATAAGGAATGTATGCGCGCCAAAGTAATCCCGCTGAGCCTGGAGCAGATTGGCCGGTAGATCGCGGGTGCGGTAGCCGTCGTAGAAGCTGAGTGCGGTGCTGAACGCTGGTGTTGGGATTCCCCATAGCGCACCCTTGCTGACAACGTCGCGCCAGCCTGCTTGGGCCTTGTTGATGGCATTGTGGAAGAAGTCGTCGAAGAGGAGGTTCTCCAAGTCTGGGTTGTTGCGGTAGGCGTTGGTGATGTCCTTGAGGAAGACGGAGCGGATGATGCAGCCGCCTCGCCACATTAGGGCGATGGAAGGCTTGTTTAGTTTCCAGCCATATTCTTTTGCGGCCTGGTGGTTGAAGGTTGGGTTAGTTCATATTTTGGTGGAGATGGCGTATAATATGCCCTTGGAAGACGAATGGGAAAGGACAAAGGATGAATAACTCACGTCCTGGATCAGCATGAATCCTTGGGCGTAGGAAATGATCTTGGATGCATAGAGGGCCTGTTCCAGGTTGTCGATGAACTCCTCTCTGTTGCCAGTGAAGTTCGGGTTGGGTCCCTGGAGAATCTTGCTAGCCCGGATACGCTCTGATTTCAACGAGCTGAGGCAGCGGGCGAAAACAGCCTCGCCGATCAAAGTGACTGGCATGCCGAGATCGAGGGCATTGATAGCGGTCCACTTGCCAGTACCCTTCTGCCCAGCAGAGTCGAGGATCTTTTCGACGAGCGGCACACCGTCGTCATCATTGTAGCGCAGGACGTCGCGGGTAATTTCGATCAGGAAGGAATCCAAGACGCCCTTGTTCCATTTTTCGAAGACGTCGCCCATCTCCTTTCCGGTCATGCCTAGACCGCGTTTCATGATATCATACGCCTAGAATAACACAACACTCCCAGCCCTTTTTAGCCACAGACCCTTCGGAATGGTATGAAAGAATGAGGAATTGATGGGCAGAGCAATTGTTGTCCCGGCTTGCTCACCTCTGTGATCAGCTGCATATCACCATATTCGATGCCATTGTGGACCATCTTCACATAGTGGCCAGCGCCCTCATCACCGACCCAGTCACAGCAGGGCTCGCCATCACTCTTGGCAGCAATGCTCTGGAAGATGTCCTTGATATATGGCCACGCCTCCTCGTTTCCACCGGGCATCAAGCTGGGCCCATATCGGGCACCTTCCTCACCGCCGGAGACACCAGATCCCACAAAGCGGATGTTCTTGCTGGCTAGGTATTTTGTGCGACGGTTGGAGTCCGGGAAGTGGGAGTTTCCGCCATCGATGATGATGTCGCCGTCTTCAAGGTGGGGCAGGAGGGATTCGATGAAATCGTCGACTGGCTTGCCGGCCATGACTAGTAGCATGATTCTGCGTGGTCTTTTGAGCTTTGCGCAGAACTCCTCGATAGAGTGGGCACCGACAATAGATTTGCCTGGAAATATAGTTGTTAGTCATGTTTCAGTCTTTTTTGACGGCTCCGTGGGCTGTTAAATTCGCAAAGAAAATGCAACAAGAAAATTAAAAAGCAGACAAGAAGTTGTTTTCCAATGCTGGACGATTTACCTTTAGCTTCATTTTCCAGGAAACGGTCGACTTTAGACACAGTGCGGTTGAATGCTACGACGGTAAATCCATGATCTGCCACATTTAGGATGAGGTTCTGGCCCATAACGGCCAGACCAATGAGGCCAAAATCACCACTGGGAGCAGATGACGCGGATGAACCGGCATCGATGCCGGCCAGACGAGCGCTGCAAGTCAGCAATCAAATTTTGTCCAGGTTAATGCTGATGGATTTTGGGAGCGCAAGTTTGGGGAGAAGGTTGTTGATAGGTTTTCCCACCCAAATTGATGGGAGCCATAGAACAAGGCATTGAACATTGGGAGTCAAACTCGTTATTGGTAGAGCGAAGCGCACTTACACTGCCTTATCTGCCATGGTGAAGGAGTAATGTAGAAGATTGATTCGTTAAAGAGGATTGATAGGCGGCTTGTATGTATTCTGGAGCGGCAGGTAGATCTCTGGTTAGCTTGTAAAGTAATCCCTCGAGATGCGGAGGAGGGAAGACATACTACTACTGACTGACTGGAGGGGTTTGGAAGTGATAGGAGAAAGTTGGGAGAAGCGATGGAGACAGGAAGTGTAGAAGTAGTGATAAAGGTGTGGTGAGAAGAGAACTGGAGGAGAAAAGAAGTGGGATGGTTGAGGGAGGGAGGGAGGAGGGAGGGACGCCCGAAACAGAGAACAGAGAGAGAGATTGAACTAATTAATAACTAAATAAATATGACGACGAGGTTGAAAAATAATTTGTGCCTTTGCCGAGTTACGGCTTCTTGACCTCACTGCGTAGTTCTGCTACAATAATTAATACCTGGCCCCAACTATATCAATATCAGTCAATGTACGGAGTATTGTGAGATTAATAATTAATTAATTAATAGCCTTCTATACACGCATACTCCGTATCCGCGCTTCATTATCTGGATGTTGTTGAGGCGGGGTATTTCCAACCGCTGAGAATGAGGGGTCCTTTTACCCAACAACGCCTTTTTTGCGATGACTTGACGGCTGTTGCTGCTTGCTTGCTGCAATTATTATTGAAGCCACCAGGCTAAAACCCTTATAATTAGTAAATCCTGCATCATTTTACCCCTAGAACATGAAGGGAATACTCGTTTCCGGATGGACCCAGCCGACTGAAATAAGTTAATAAGTTAGTTAATAACTGTGACCATTTTGTATACGCAGTTTGCCCTTGTTTCTTCATCCACCCTTGGCCACCCGGAGCACTGTTCACCGGGTATTATTATTATTATTATTAATCTGGGAATGCACCTCGATCCCCGTTTCAAAATGAGAGTCTTTTGAGTCCATTTCCAGCCCATGCCGTAATTGGATTCCGGTATAAATCTGTGGATAAAGTGGTCAACAGCGGAGGTTGAAAACCGGACAATGCCCAATAATGCGCCCAGATATTTGCCCCCAACCCAACCATACTCTCATGTTTATCAACCTTCATCTATGCCCACATAGCCCTTACTGTTGTTCTCTTCCTTTCAGTTATTTAATATTAATTCTCCTGAGTCTTTTCTTCTGCTCTCTGGCCTTGGTGTTGGGGCGGCGGCCGCCTCAGTGGCGTTAAATACGTTAACTTACCCTCTAGCAATCGCTCCACCCACACGTGATCTCAGATGTAATAATGGATAACTAACTATAATAACGCGGCTCGAATATGTAACCATCACACACTGTGGCAACACCCCGAGGTGGCGGCCGCTACAAACTCTAGACCAAAAACAGCTCTTGAGTCTTGAACCATTAACTATCACAGCAAATCAAGCATATCAACAGGCAGTCTCTTGTCAGTAACAGCAAGGTTTCGCTTTCCGCCAGAAGGAGTGAAAGAAGGATTGTGTGCATCGGGGACCTATATCAGCAAATTAGAGTAGAATCAAGACTCATTACGCGGTCGCGCTCTAAGGCTGCCTTGCCTGTCAGTCACGTTTCATCCGGCGCATTTCATCCTTTGGTGGACGGACGACTCATCCCAACCCATCAGTCGATACAGTGACAGTTGAAGCACCACTTGCGCTGCTCTAGATCTTGAACCACATACGAGCCTTCTAGTTCGTTCCCTGGACGTGCGCAAGGTACGTGTGTCCTTTGTTACTGCACATCTGTCGCCAAAAAAGGCTCTCTCCTGTGCAGTAAACATACAAAATATATATAATCCCTTTTCGACGAACTTCCGTTCATCATGTCCCTTCCGCCACCTCCAGGTCTCCAACAACAATCGTCTCAACCTCCGTCCTCGAAACCACAACCGTACACGTCTCTACCCGCACGACCACCTCCCTCTGCATCTTTCCAGCCAGCAGGAGCCCCCGGGGCTTCCAATACTATTCCCCCTACTCCTTCGACTAGACCCAGTACCGGTTACAGCTCCTTCACAGCCTTCCAGCCCCGTACTGTAACTACAAGCCAGCCAGCTTCTCCAGCTGGCTACCAATCCCATGCCCCGCACTACTCCCGGCCGCCCTACGGGCAGCCCAACGTAGCATATTACGGACAACACCACCAATACCAACAACAGCAACATCAACAGACAGTGGGCGCTTACGGCCAGTCGGGTGCCCCTCACATCCAAAACCCCTTCCCGTATCCCAACCAAGCATCAACCAATGCATACGGCGGCGCCGGAAGAGGCTATGCCCGCCACACGGCGGACTCAGGCCTCGACCCGGACACCGAAGCGCAAATTGCCCAATGGCAGAGCGCGTATATGGGTAGGGAGAGCATTGAAGCTGCCCAAGCCGTAGCAAATACTGGAGGCACTAAAGGCGCATTTGCCGCTACAGGCGCCAACACAGGACCTCTAGGAACCGTCCAGCGCATGCACGACTCAGCCATATCGACACCAATCTCTAGCGGTCCGCACACGACTTCGTCCACGCCTATCCCGCTAGGCGTAGGCGCAGGCGCAGGCGCAGGCGCAGGTACAGCCGCCATCGGCGCACCACCGGCGGCAGGCACAGGCGGAACCGCAACTCCAGACGAACCAGCCAAGACCGTCCTCCGCTCGGGTGGCGGGCAGAGCTGGACGGACTCCACGCTCCTCGAATGGGATCCGGCCCACTTCCGTCTCTTCGCAGGCAACCTTGCCGGCGAAGTCACAGACGATTCGCTCTTGAAGGCGTTTTCGAAGTACCCATCCGTGCAGAAGGCGCGGGTGATTCGCGACAAGCGCACGGAGAAGAGTAAAGGGTATGGGTTTGTGAGTTTTAGTGATGGGGAGGATTATTTTCGCGCGGCGAGGGAGATGCAGGGGAAGTATATTGGGTCACATCCGGTCTTGTTGAGGAGGGCTATGACGGAGATTAGACCTGTGGCGGCGTCGAAGGTTGCGGGGACAGGGGGGAAGGGCGGTGGGAAGAAACGTGGAGGGGGTGGTGGTGGTGGTGCTGGAAAGGGTGCTGGAAAGGGTGCTGGTGGTGCTGGTGGCGGCGGGGGTGGTGGTGGCTCGAAAGTTATCGATGGTGGTATACAGAAGAAGCAAGGGAAGACGAAAGGGGGTTTGAGGGTTCTTGGGTAATAGGCTTGTGCCCCAGTTTCTTTCTTTGGTTCGGTTGCTTTCTTTGTCATTGATATCTGGCGAATCTGAATCTGTGGT